AATAAAATAAAATAAAAAACGTACCTGTGTTTTGCCCGTACCAAATGTATGGTCATGAATCTCTTGTGTTTTGCCGGTCAATGACGAAACTTTCCCAACATGCTGGAACTGGGATGTTCCTGAATTTATTTGATAGCATCGAAGCGTCTGAAAAGAAACCCATATATGTTGTCATTAACAAATTCGTGGTTTTTCTCACCTCCACACAATCTTTGGGGCTTTTATCCGGACTACAATAGCGACTTCGTAAGACGTCCATAAGTATCCAATCGACAGGTTTATAAGGATAGTATAGAGCAATGGCGTGAGTCAAGTACTTCAGATCGCTACACCTGTATAAAGATATGGTAGAGTGACCAGAATTATTGGAAACTTTCCAGGAATTTGTAAATGTAATAATTAAATTGTGGCACACGGATCACCGTCGACCGAAATATAATATGATCTAGGTTGTTCCATAAGTTCGTGGCACTTTTTTGCGCCTCACGCTACAACATCTAGCGACTTCTGGATATGACTAGGTAGGCTACGGAGAGCCAACTTTGTGAAGTGAAGCACATCCGAATTATGCCCGCCTTAGCTGCTTAATTTGTTGAAAATTGAAAAGGAAGAAGGATGTTTTCACACTTTGAGGTATGAACTTCTACTGAGTCACAAAACGGTCGAAGCCAGCAGTAGCATTCACTATGCTACACTTCTCCCCCACCCTCGTTCACCATGCGGAATAAGAACGGTTAAAATTGCTCTGCTCTGGCGAGCACAGTCTAGAGAATCCTGCCCGCGTGTGGGGGGGGGGTGCGATCGGTGGCTTTGCGATGTGATCAACACACTCAGGTATTTCAGCTGCATGATTGCCAGATGTCTGTCCTACTCTGGGAAAATTGTAGTGGCTTAGTGGCAATCAATGACAATCAACAAGCAACGCAATGGACAATGGACAAAGCATGAATTGCCCAGTGAATAGAAGAGTTCAACAAGAACACAGCCAACATCTTCTATCCTATTTCTTCTCTACCGGTGGCTGAACAACGGCGCCACTGGTCGATTGGATGTCCTATGCTGTAGAAGCACAGTGGCTAGATCGACCAGAAGAGCTTGAAAACTGTGAAACACACCAAAAGGTTTTGGTCCACGCATGGAATGCAAGTCCCGATTCAGCCACTGAGTACTTCTCCCCAGCTTATAGCCATGGTTGAGGTCCTACCAGATCCGTCCTACAGCGGTGATCAGCCTCCTTCTAAAGGCCATCTGACTCAATGCTTGGAAACCATCTTACAGACGAAAAATACTATTCAATGAAGGAGCTGTAAAATACGATTCAATGAAGGAGCTGTAAATTGGCATATCGTCTTTTCCAGCTTAAAACTGCTAAATTTCAGGAGGACGGGATCGAAATGTGAATCGTCGTCAAGAAGTCAGTCGTAAATGGGTCATGTATTGATGATGGACATTGCTTTTATTGAGACAAGCTCCGGTTTTATCATAATAACGATGAATTAATTAAACTCGAAAAGAATGTTCGAACAGTGCACGACTTATGAACAGTTATTATATATGATAACGTGTAATGACCTGAAGCAGTTTTTGCTCCTGCAGCCCATTAATGAACAACCCTGACAACCAGCGTCTACTACTTTTGAAAATGCGAGTTAGTTCAATAGTCAGGTCCTGCTGAAAACATTATTGCATTTTTTACGCAACTCTCAAAGCAGTATAAAACGATGAAAAATAAAAACACCTGACAAAAACGACAATGAGGTGTTGCTAAACGTTCTGAGGAAATCCATCAATTGAGTGGAGGCCCAAAATATGGAAGACGGGCTCCCTCGAATTTTCTCAGATTGACCAATCTTATCCCTAAGCACTCTTTTCTTGCACATATACAGTAGCGGTCAAAAGTTTGGAAACTTTTTTATTTTTGATCTAGCGCGGCCGACACATAACGAAATTGTCCTCAAATTTAGATATTACATACAAAATCAAGTCCAGAATACGAATTTCCAAAAATCTATAATCATGTTCAAGAAATAAGATTTTTTCAAGAAATGGCGCGTCAAAAGTTTGGAAACTTTTTGTTTCCCTCATCATTATGATTCCTACTCTTCAATGTTTACTTGTTTCTGTTAATTTTAGTTCAACCATTGAGTAATGTGTAATTTCAAAATGAATTCATATGCAAAGGAAGCAGTTTTTCCATGGGGTCCTTTTTTAAACCCTACAATCCGGAATACGAAATTAGAAATTGTTTCTTAGTAGTTCAGTCTCTACGAAAGCAATATTATCGAATGTTTTTAGTGTTTTTGGAGCCGAGTAAGCATAAGAACGAATGATCATTCACAAAAAAGTATTCTCACAAGAAAATTGGCCCTCCTCAAATACTTCGAAGGGTGGTTGGCACGTCCCGTACCCCCATGCCCAACTAAGACGATTTTTTCTGGTTTGAACCTAATCGTATGAAAGTCCAAGCACAGCCCAACATCGGCCACGACCTGGTGAATATCACGGATGATATCCCAACAAGAAGCCAGCTTTAATAGATGGATGGCCCAACTGGCTTCCGCACAAACGGCTAAAATTTGAGGCGGGAGGTTCTGCGATGCGAGAGTATAAGAGGGAGGCGAGCTTCCTAATAAAGATGTTGTACTAGATCCTGTGAAGTGTTCAGTCAAATGGAAACCTCATTTTCAGTATAAGATCCCAACATTCAGAAATAGTGGAAGTATTGCCATGGATGGAGATGTGTCCGACCATTCGGCGATTCCCCAGTTCTATGTATCCAGCGAAATGTGGGTTGGGCTAAGTACAAGAATAGTCTATAGAATACAATGCTTCCCTTCGATAGTCAGAACTAGCCGGAAAAGATGGGTTTTCTATCGCGGAAATGACCCAATGCAGGCCTACCTCCTCACTGCCGCCTTCCTAAACCCAGAAAAAGAAGCTGTTATGAAGCGACCAAGTCAAGATCTAAAGTCTAATTGAGTTCTACATCCCACGGAAGAACTGGCATGTCGCTCAACCCACATTCCAGTTAAGAATCCCACCAAACAATGCGATTTAGTTCACAGTGTGCAGGGTTCGACTTAAAAGTCCTAAAATTATTTTATAATCAACTCCATGTCAATAAAAACGACGCTGACATAGAAATTCACAGCTACTCATCGAATACTAATTTATCATGTAGATTCGAGAGCTATTTTGCCGAATTCGCTTTGGAATTGAGAAGTTTCCAAACTTTTGACGCGCCATTTCTTATAAAAATTCATATTTTTCAAAGGGAATCTCGTTTTGAGAACTATTGACTACAATAGTTCAAAATTGAAAGTTTCCAAACTTTTGACCGCTACTGTACGTATGTTTCTTGCTCTCCAGTGGAGCAAAATGTGGCGCGTTTGCAGGAGATGGGAAACCCACAGTCTGGTAATTCTTCCCGTCCCTTTATAATGCTTCGGCCCTGCTCACCCGCTATCGCTCTCTTCTGGACTTTAGCTATTTTAGCTGATGACCAGAACAGAGCGATAACATTCGTAATCAACCTAGAAATTGAGGGCCCAGTTGGCTAGTCTAACATCGTTTACCTCGCTTTTTCTTCACCACTACACCCTTTACCACCTCAACCTTTCACCACTAGCGGTTGTTAACTTGTCGCACCATCAGCGTTTACAGGGGAGGGCGAGTTATAGAGCAGCACTTGTGACTTTTTCTATGTTGACGTATTCCTTTCGTGCACTCTTCAGACTGATGTCATGACTTAATATGTGGTAAGAAATTGTAGCGAAGTGTTTTGCTAATTTTAACCCTTTGACGACCGCCGTTATGAATGCGTCACTTCACTTCTTTCTAAATTTTTTCATCAATAATCATTAACTCTCCAACAATTTCACTATTAGTAATTAGCGCATTATTCCGCGAATTCGATAATGTATTTGTGTAGTTTTGAAACATAAAAAATGCCAAAATAACCCCTC